GGTATGAAGGGATTGCAAGATTAAGTTCCACTGCAGTCATGCCCTGAAGCATTTAACCACTGTGATGGAAAGAGTCAAATCAGTGTGGTTTCTCTAAAGGAAATGCTGCCTCTTTGACCTTTTCAGTCCTTTGAATCTCTTAGTAAAGGAGAACATGGAGTAGAATTGGTAGTCATGCCACACCTGGATTTTTTTTACGGGAGACTAGTAAGTGTCCCTTAAGAGACCATTAAGGAAGACAGCCATGGGCAAAATCTTGTTGGATTCTTGCCTGCATTCAGTGTACAAATGAGCACAGGCCTCATGCCGCACCGGCTGCACGCTGCGTGCTGCCCAAAGCTTTCTAATAGCGTCCCTCTTCATGCCTGTCCATCACGGTCCTTAGAGCTGGCTTGTCACATGCCGTAGACTCTTCCTTGCTGCTGCTAATGACACAAGCTGGCAGGCCTGTCAGCGAAGCAGCCTGTTTTCCAGAGATCAGTTTTCACAGGATTCCTATGCCTGTCCTCAGGAGACCCCAGCGACACTGACGGCAGTAACAGCAACTCCTCTGCATCTGCACTTCATCAAATCTGAAAGCCGAAAGCAGAGGCAGGGGGATGCCTCTTCAGGTAAATAAACAAAATCTATTTCATCTAAAGAAAGATCCTAAGGAAGGTAAGAAAAAGATTCATAATTCCTCAGTACAGGCAGTGAAGTTTAGGTTATGAACATTGGAAAAAAAATAAGACACGCTCCCAGGATGCAAATTTACAACCCTTTAAACTCCAATAAAATCCTTCGTGTTCTGATCTGTAATCTGTTTTTTCTTTAAATAACTGAAGGCACAATGGTTTTGTGAAATGTAATGTATCACTGTTACTGCACGGTGTGTAGAAAGTTAAGCCCCAAATCCCCAAAACAGAATCTCTCACCAGTCCTTCCTGTGCTTTCAGATGGAGCTCTCACAGCTCAATAAAACACCCGACTCCCTGGGGACGAACTCTGCTGAAACACACGCAGCTCTGCCCTGCTTCTTGCTCCTCTCATCTGCTGCTGGTGCCCTAAAAAAATCCCAGTCACCCACCCAGGGCAATAATTAGGCAAATAAACATTAAAAAACTGAATGCTACCGACGGCTCCAGTGTCCACTGAGGCGTGTTTGTCTCCTCTGTGTCGGGCAGGAGATGCTTATCCACAGACATCATGTGATTTTCACAGAAGCACCTTAGGTTTGCAAGCAGCCTGGGGACTCAAATCTCTGTCTCTTCTGCCTCCAGCTCTTGTTCCCAACGTGCTGTGCCTGTACTGTGCTCTGCGTGGCAGAGGCACTACCACAGTCTGTATTGTCAGAAAGCTGCCCAGAAAGTGCAGAATGAAAATGGTGTATTTTTGGTAAATGGTACCTAGAACTGGGATAACCCAAACCAAAATTTGCTGTCTCCCCGGAAAATAATTTGGCATTATGTAGAAGTTATATTCCAGATCCATTTGTCTTTTCATAGTGTATGTATTCAGGATTCTTAAATCTCTGGGAAAAAAATCTCATTTTTGTACGGGCCAAGACTTTTCAAACAGTGTGCCTAAAACTCAGTGCCTCAAACCCATGTTTAGACACTCTGCTATCATCTTGCTTCCCCAAAATATTAATCCTGATAAAAGCCCTCAGGAATGCAAACCGAAACTGCTTTGTAACGAGAACTTCTGAAAACTGGGTTAATGGTTGGGCCTGCTCACCTCACGATTTATACACAGGTGCACATTTTCAGTGTTACGCACACCATGAGAAGGACTGCTGCATGCATCTTCTACTGACAATGAAGTTAGGAGGCTTAGGTTAAATCTTTGGCGACAAAAGTCTTGCAGAGAATGCAACAGAAAATGGAGTGGGAAAGGCCAGGCCTCTACAACTAAACTGTTTTTTTAACCATTTCCTACACGACTAACCAAAATGCATATCTTTCATCCTTTTGACTAGGATACCCTGTTCCTGTAACGTGGGGAAGCAGATTTCTCCTGTTTTGTACATTATACAGGCCTCTACCCTTGAGCACGGCAGGTAATACCATACCGAAAGCAAGATATTACAGAATTGGCTCCTCTGTTTTGCCTGCAAGGATGTACTCTGCCAATATTACTCTGTATTTGCCTATCTTCCTTATAGTCAGTATGTTAAGTTCTCTCCCCAAGCCTTACCCCAGGCCAGGTGAACTGATGGGGATCGATCTCATATAAACATGTCTGGGAGCGAGTATGTCCTTGCATTACTATATGGCAGTATTTCTGCAGCTGAACCTGTCGGAAGGCAAGTCAAATGTAAATTAGTGCTTAATAACAATACCATTTTTTGCATGCTTTCCCCAGTACTATTATTTGCTGACAAGTACACACTCAATTGCATATTAAATACATGTAAGCATGCAGACAAACTGAAGCTGATATATTTCCAACACCTTTTCCTTTTGCTGTTTAAGCCCAGTATATAAAGGTTAAAGCCATCGGTTCTCCTTCTAATATCTCAACCCAGCTGATGAAAGATGAATCTTGATTAAGCTGTTTGAAAGGACTTTCAGCATTTTTCCAATCACTTTTCACAGCTTGGGGATTTTAAAAAAACAGATTTTGGTCTTGTTTTCGTAAAAACTCAGTCCCTTCTTTCAATTATTCTGCACACGTATCTAATAGGTTCTATTGCTGAATTCAGTGTTTCTGACAGCACGGCATCAGCCAGCGTTCATGTAAGCCTTATGGCTACTACCCATGAACTTCTAGTTTGTACATTAGCTCCTGAGAAGCCTCTGCTTACTTATCCGCATCGCTTATTCAGGCAGATTCACAGGAGCCCGAGGAAACACTTCTCTTCGTTACCCGCGTTTGGAGGGACCAGAGACAAGCGACTTGCGGAGATGCTGACAGTCTCGCGCTTCCCTCCGCCCAGCCCTGCGCAAACCTCCTGGCCCAGCGCGGCAGTCGGCCGACGGCTGCCCTCTTGCCAGGCCGG